CTTCGTAGGCAGTCGCATAAGCACCGATAAACATAGTAGAAGGAGTACAGACCAGGATAAGGAAAACTAAGGCAGCTATTTCTAGCCTGTTAGCCGTCTTCAGTCGGAAACGCCCAACTCCAGTGTTGAGTTAATAAGGAATTCAAACCTAGAACCCTTAGCCATTTGTCGTTGAATCCAACGCTCTACTACTGAGCTATAGCTCCCTTGTCCTGTCCGTAGCGATCGGGAATACTATCATGCGATTGGCGTAAAATGCCATAGGATAATCAAGGGCAAATTATGTGATGTGTTAATATTCGAGACTCAGGGATCCTATCGTGTTTATCATCCTCTGAAGAGGATGGGGAGGAAAAAGAAGAGGGGTAAGCGAGTTCATGCACCCAAATATATTTTGGCTAAATTTTCGGAAACTCCGGTTTTCATCATCAGGGTAGTGGGTTGGTTCTTCCTGTTGACTTCGACTGCATCAGCTCTTTCTCCTGTCTGGTTCGACACACGAACACTAAGAAGTAGGTGAAGGGAACACCAATGGGTTCACCGATTTCAGGGCTCATGGCCGAGGCGGTCTCACAGCGGGCAGAGTTGGTGATCTTCCAACACCATAGAGGTCCTATCTTTGCGGTTCATTGCAAGCTGGTGCAATCGTGTGTCAAGGCGTTTGGTTACTTCACCAACATACCTCGCATCCCAGTTTTGGCATAGTATGCTGTAGAGCACCGCTGATTGTTTTACCACTGACAGCAGGTCGCTGAATTCCATGATTTGCTGGCTGATTATAAGAGGTCGGATAGTATAATGTTCATGCAAAGGGGCTGTATCGCCGATCCGATTTCACGTAGAAGCACGCCCGTCTTTTTTTTGTTTTTTGCAGCTGTATTAAGAACCCTGACAATTGGTTGTTCCACGCCAGGCAATTATGCAGAATGCCGACATCGTCGTGAGAGACCGCAAGAGCCTTACCCGATCTAATAGCCATTATTAGACAGCCACGGATTTTTTAGCTGGCAGTGGGAAATCTCAACATTCTCATTTATCAAGTGCTTATTGGGGAGCCATGGAAGTGCCAAAGTCGCAGCGTGTCTCCTCTATCACGCGATTGTGTGCCTTCCTACCTAGCTGTTTCGTAGACCACAAACTGACTTCGATATGGGAACTCCTCCATGCATATCTAACACTTGGCCTAGTCAATGAGAATACGCCGTCTTTCCGTCTACCTTTGTGCTTAGGAAAGTTTATGCAATAACCAGAGGACTTTCCGGATCAAATGAGAGCAAACCGGAAACAAAACGTCGGCTTCTAGACTATCTATAACTACTGATCTCCTCACCTCGCGTCAACCTGCTTGGTCTCTGCGTTATCGCAACGCATAGGACGGCTGTTCGGTTACTTCAAGCGCTTTTCTCCCTGACTAGCAAGTCAAGCCTGCTCTAGCCTGACGGTTATAAGACTAAGATTGTAGGGGAGATCAATTTGTACGCAAAATTGCTTCTGCGATGAAAATCATTTCAGGAGACCTTAATTTGTGCGGACCCGTTTGTTGCAAATTCACCTACGTTACGCCTGTTCGCTTTTTATAGGTAATCACTGGCAAAATGCTGTGTGCTGCTAGATTAGTTACCACGGTAGCCGAAAACACCAGGGCTCCGGATGATTTCGTGGACCACTTCCACCCCTAACTTTAGTTGACCACCTCGATTCCGTCGTCAGCTAGAGGCGGTCTTAAAGATGGTGACACCACTGATCTATTTTTGATTTGACGTCGAGACTGGACCTGTCAGTCGTACTATGTTTTTTGTGACTTTCCCAAAAAAACACTATTACGTAGGCAATCATTCTGTTGGAATATAAGCCACTAAACGTTTACTATTTTTGGCGGCAATCAGCATTGTAATGCTATCAGTTGGGAGAATGGTTTGTGTGGGTCAGACAGGTTTGCACCCCCGAGGCTCTTACCACAACAAACATTTTCTTGTTCTCCTATGGTTGTGTGGTCTGCCAACATTACAGCCCGTTAGATCCTCAAGATAGTTTAACGAATCACTCCTCGGTAAGCGCTCTGTAGATTCGCAGACCTCTCCACGTCGTTCATTATTGGCTTCCCATTCTCTTCGAGCAATGTTTCACCCTTGTTACTCTTATCTGACAAACAGTTGTTCCATCGACTGCCTTTGGGACTTCTACGCTTGTCGCAAGTACTTTCTAAAGCCCCCTTAGGGAGAGGGGGCAGTGACTACTTAAAATCCCGGTGGCTTGGCCATACGCTAGTTTTCTCATTGATTATCCTCCTCCTTTCTGGTGTTAGATTCCATTTAGGGATCCCGAACTCAGTTCCTTTTGGATGCTTTACGTGCTTCCTATAGTCAGTAAAGTCTTCCCAGTGACCGTGGGGACTAATGTTTATTTTAACTGGTGAATAAATAAACAGGTAAATGTTCATAATGTCGCCTTCGCGTCGGCGGCCGTATTCTACTTGACCCATACTACTATTTCCTATGCATGTTTCTACTGCGTCCGGTGTTTGTTTGCCCCGAAAACGGTTTCAACGAGTCGGCTGATCAGGTCTCCCAATCTGGAGCGGTTCCTTAAACCAATAAAAGTCACCAATGCTTCCTCCTACTGCTACTTACAACAAGCGGTCAAGTAGTATTTTTCTCAATTAAGGTCTTTTCCGACTGCTCCGTAACCCACTTGCATCAAATTATACTGCAGTACCCTCACACTCGGTAATGCTGACAGTAGGCCCCACCCACTGCCTAGGGCACTCTTATCTGCTTGCTGCGCGGTAAGGTCGTTATTGTGTGACAGCCTGAGGTGCCTAATTTTCATTCACCCTCTCCTTATTGCCACTTAATTACTTTCTTCTCCAATCAGCGAGTTTGCTGACGCCATTGTGAACGGCAAGGACGGCAAGCTTGAACAGCTGTTGGTAGCTGCTCTTGAAATCTCCAGCTGCACCACGCAGCTTCTGGTTGCCAGTCGAGTCAAGGCTCGCAGCGAGTCAGTCCGTTTAGCAGACCTGGAAGACGCCGCTAAGGAAGTCTCCAAAATGACTGGAAAGGTAGTCGCTGAGGCCAATAACGGCGTCAGCATTCGGGAACAGTCCGGTAAGTATGTCTCACTTCCTTATCCCCCCCCCGCCCGCCTACAGTCTGCTGGTATTCACAGACCTGTTACATTGCGCCTAATCAAACATCTCTAGATGTGGTAATTGTTTCGTTTTTTAGCTGACTATGAATTTGCTCAACTCGGAATCACACAGGCTC